TTAAAAAAGTAGTTGCACTCTGTAGACTTCCCAAAAATGGTTTTTCGTGAAAATGGGCCCGTTTTTTGTCAAAACAAGGGCATGCATAGCATTTAGGAGGCTTCTAAAGTGCTCCTGGGGCTGTGAGTTGGGTGGGCAAAATTGAGCAAAAAACGGCCCGTTTTTCACTCATTTCTGCCTTCCCCAGCTCCCAGGAGTACTCTGAAAGCTTTCTAAAGGCTATACATGGCCATTTTGGTGAAGGGGGTGGAGTTTTGGGAGGCAAAAAATGCTGTATTTAGTGTATAAGAAGCACCCAGATTTTCAGCTTCTTTTTCGAGGAAAAAGGTGTGTCTTATATTCCAAAAAATACAGTAAGTTATCTGGCAGCTCTCCAAGCAAGATAAGGTTTGTGCTGATAAATATTCCTCTGAAAGACTGTTTAATAAGCCTTGCTGAGTGTGAATGAAAGGAATTCACAGTCGTATAAATAAAAGAGGTTTCCTTCTTGCTTTCTAAGGAAGCCTGGGTCAGAACAATTTCTCTGCTTCTCTTCCCACAGCCAAAAAGATTTAGAGAGCCTTAAGGCCGAGGTACAGAGACGGCAGCAGCTGCAAGAATCCTTCCGGAGCAGCGATCAGCCGGAGACCGAAGAGAAGCCCCCCGAAGAGGAAGAACGAAGCCAGCCCGTCCGTCCCAACACCCCTTAGAGCTTTAAAGAGCTTTTTAGTTCACTGGTCCTCACCACAGAATTTGCCCCAGGTGATTCAAGCCTCACCCTGGGACAATTTTGGCAATGTTGTTTGTTTCTGGGGAGGGATAATTTTTTTTTTGTTTTTGTTTGTGTTTGATTTGCACTGGTACAATGAATTTACAATGCAAAAGAACAAAATTTTGAGAAATGAAGTCTACCTGTCTGTAAACGGGCCACCCGCAAGCATCTCAGGTGGCCTGGAAGAGAGCAGAAGGTCTGTGCCCCCCAAACGGCCCAACTACACGTAGACCAAGGATGCCACATCGAGGTGGCGAGAGAGGAAGAAGAGGGGCAGGAGATGTATGTTGCGTGTATGTGTGTGAGTGTATCATCCATCCATTTCTACTGTGTACATAAGAGATTTAATTCCAAGTGAGGGATAATATAATATTTCTCAGGTCATTTTTATGTTGACTTTTAAAAAGAAGACATTTAACTTTGCAAAAATCTTTGGCCATCAGCCCACCAACTATTGATTTTAGAGTGTATTTTTTTCCCCTTCCCCTTCTTTCTTCCTGCCTTTAAGCCTCGGGCCCCTTAAACACTGTTTAGGTGTCTGCAACATTATAAATATTATATATTAAATATAAATTCAGCCATATTTTTATCGGAATATCAATTTTTTTAAAAAAAAGCCCAAATGGATTTGGTTCGGAAGAGAGAGAAATTTTAAGGCGCGTTAAAAAAAAAATCCCTCCTTATCTCTCCCCCTCTTCCTTCCCCCCCACCGCGCTCACATTTAGGAAGAAAAAGCCACTGTGTTCCATTCAGGTGCCACATTTAGCTTTATTTTAGGGGAGGGTAAAAAAAAAATACAGGGAGCATTTTATTATTGTGGTTTGCAACTCGTCATGTCCCGGGAAAAAGCAAACAGTGCCTCAATAAATTCCTTTGGGTTTACACGAGATGGAATAAGATGAAAAACATCCCAAAGAAAGTACAGGAACCGGAATGTTAAAAAACCCCACTTTTAATATTGGTTGAACGAAGGTGTCTCCTTCCCTCCCTCTCCCAGGCATTTGCAAGTGAATGGTTAAACCTGGAGCCCAGAGCGATGGGAACGAGAGTCCCACTGACTTCCACTGACTGCCACTTAGTTCCAGAACTTGGGAAGAAGGGCTGATCGTTTCGTACCACCCTTCGATTCTGCCAACTTCCCCATCACTGCACTGTCCCGCACCCACCTGCCTCTTGGCTAACCCTCAGTGCCTGTGTGCTCTCCCTGTCCCCCCCCCCCAAACACCAATTCCGGAGGAGGGGGGGAAATTTGCACAAAAGGAAACTCATTTGCCCAGAGCGTCCTTGGAAAAGAGGGTGGGATTAGGAAGTGGGTGGGAGAGAAGCAGTGGACACATGTAACCAAGAATACCATCCCTGGAGAAAAAGAACCACCAACAACTGCCCCAGCAGTAGAATCGAATCAATCAATGTCTCTTTTATTTCTAAGGTTTATCTGTGAATGTATTAAAAACCAAGAATCATGAATCTAATGCTGCATCTGCTTTCATTTCTCTTCTCCCTGTGCGAAGCCACAGATTTTCCCCAGGTATTGAAGTACAGGTCCGACGTGTGTTTTGGGAGTGGGGGGGAGTTGGCTGTCTCTCTTCTCAGAGCTTGGCCTTGGGACCAGTCCTGCTTTCCAAAAAGGCAGTCTCCAATCAGGGGTGAAATGCTACCGGTTCGGGCCGGTTTGTCCGAACCGGTAGTAAAAATGCTTTTTAAAAAGTTTTTTAAAAAAAATTTGCAATGATCGCCGGCACAGCTGATCGTCAGAACTTTTTTTTTTTTTTTAACTTTTTAAAG